TATTCATGTGTATGTTGTTTATGGAAAGTAATATACGCTATGATAAAGTAGTATTTTCTGAAAACCATTTCTAAAATGTATTTGAAAAAATATTTATCTTTTGTTTGCACTTGTGGGCAATTTAGTTGAATATGTCTTATACGCTATTGATGTAACTATCTGTAATTTTTTTAATTTATCAAATATATAATTAGGTATATAATTTACAAATTATATTGATATTTTATATATGTTCAAAGTATACGATCTAATAGTAATAAAACTAATAAAAATTCATGCACATGTCTTTTTAAAAGAATTAGATTTGATTCAATCCGGAAAAAGCGTGAAAAATGAGTTTCACTAAGTTCTTCAAGGCGCACCACTCAATTAGTATAATTTTCATGTATTTAATGATATAATAATATATTAGTATATTTTGGATATTATTTTCCTGGGGCTGTTCACTAAACTTATTTACTAAAGATTATTCTAAGAATTACTTAAACATTACACGCCACTAAATTTTGCATAATTCATAATAATTTTTTTTAATTTTTATAAATGCTAGTTTGTGCAAATTTTATGTAAACGAATTTGACTTACTTCTTTATATTTTAAGTTTTAATTTTTTTACTTGTAGAATTTATCTACATAAAATATTATCTGGTTTTGACTATACTTCATCGAAAACTACTTCCCGAATTGTTTTGGAAAATTTCCAAAAGCTTCTGCAAAACTTTCAATATTGTTCCAAAATATGGAGACGGTCAATAATTTATGAGTAGTATAGTTACATACTAGAATGTACATCGTAGGTTTATGATGAATTTGCGGAGGATCGTATTTGATTCTATCAAGAATATTAAGTGTCTTTCTCATTATCTTTAACTACTGAAAACAGGTAATTTATATCTGTCTAACAATTTTTCATGTTACGAACTGTGGTATGGATAGTATTATCCATCAGACTCACCTACAATTGTAAGGAGCAAACTGGTTAAAAATAATACATATTTTATTATTAAAGTAAATAAGAAATTTTGTTCTTACTGTGTTAATTATCTGACACTGCTGTAATGATATATATATAAAATTATACCATGAGACATTACATATTATTTTGAAGCAATACCTTCATAAGTAACCAAAACTTGTAATCAGTCTAATGTGGAGTATGGAAGTTTTCTAATTGAAGATTTGTCTAATGTTAAAAAGATCCGATAAAAATTCATAAATTCAAATTATCAATATACTTCTGCCTTTTTTCAAATTAGTTTCCAAATATTTGGCAGTTTGAAATTTTAAGAGGCGTTTGGTCCCAAACAGTTGTCCTATCTCTGTGTGATGAATTATCATTACAATTTTTGTAATATTGCGAATATTATTGATGTACCTTGCCGGATCTGGTCTATTTTCATCTGGAAACCTATTGCTATCTATATTTCCAAGTAAAAACCGTTGTCACTACTGCTTGACATCGAACTCGGGACTTTTGATTCAGATCCAGTAGATCTGAAGTAATAATAATATCGAATAATCGATATACAAGCAAACTTGCTTAGATTATAATTGCAAATAGTACTGACAGTAATATGGCTTCTGTTATTGACGTGTTCTAGAAAAATTGGATACAATAATTTCCATCAGTTCCTTAGAATATTCGATATCTTGATATTCAATATTGTAACCGTAAAAAGATAATACTTGCGAAATATAAAATTACAATTACATTTTTTGTCTAAATGATAAATCGATCTGCTAAACATATTTCATGCAATAAGAATAGCATAACAAGAACGCGAGATGTCCATATGCCATCTTCATACATAAACCTTGTTATAGTTTATTTTCAGTACCGGGACAACAATTTAAAAAACGAAACATAAAATAGGAAAACCAGTTTTCAATAAATGTTGATTAATAACAATGCAAGCTACCATAGTCCTCCGTTAGGTCACCTTGGCGATATTTGCGCGGGTTGGCGGCGAGGTCTCCATTGGCAATGTGACTTCATTAATTATAATAATTGCGAAATTTTCTATCGCGAATGAAGAAAAAATATACCAAATATGAAAAACAATTAGTTATTCAATCACATTTTAATGATAGTGCAATTATGTATTCAAAGAAAAATATGTCAACGTTTGAGTGCGCCCAATTAAACAGCGAGGTTCTGATCGTTCAAAAAAGAATTTAAAATCGAATGACTAAAAGTTCGTCTGCAATCATTGGCAGTAGCTTCAATAAGATGTTGCTGCTATTTATTTTAGTTTTATAATGTCAGCTGGAGACATGTGCAAGGGATTATATTCCCTTATATTATAAACCCTTTAGCGGAAAAACTTTAAAGTAATTTTTCTACATTAAATTATTTTACTATAACGTCATAATTTTACTATATTATTCTATATACGCATTTTTATTGATGAAAAGTTGCTAGAAAGAACTTAGTTAATTCTTCATTTATCATATTATTTTTAACGTGAATCCGAAATATGTATAAAAGACAACATAAATTGTTTAAAGCATATCCATCAATCAATTTATATTTTTTTAAAGCATATCTAAACGCTTTAAAATACTTTATAGACTATATTCATATTTAGGTACATGGATTTTGTTGAAGCCATTAACCCTTAAATAAACAGTTTAGGTTTCATAAAACATAAGCAACTGAATCTTCTCATATTTTTCTATTTTTACTGGTCTGATTCAGACAGCATTTTAACTTTTTCTGTTAAAAAAATATTTTTTACTGTTACTGCAAAAAGTGATATTGAAAAAGAGCTACTTTCACATATTTTCAATTACAGCTCGAATGATAAGGTAGATAGTTAAAAATTAGTATATCGGTAAACCGTTTCAACATGGTTCAACTAGTTATTGTTCATTTTATCAAACATTAGATATATGTTATTAATTTTCATATTTAAATATTCATACCGATTAGATTGGAAATATCTAGCTTACATGGATTTGTTTTTTGCATTAAGTTTGCAATTTATCTAGCTTGCGGTACATGTGACTACATATCATTCCTGATCCGCAGGATATGCTAATATTATGAACGTATTGTCTAACATTTTCTCACAGATTACGTGTGTTAATTAGTATCTTTAATTTAAATAAATTCTTGTATGTATAGTTTGTTGCATGTTTTATTAGTTGATTTATATATTCTAGCTAGGTAGTCAATTTTATCACTGAACGGTGTTTTTATAGACAATATAGTTACTATTAATGTTATACTTGCTTATACTGGCAGTTATTGCATGGCAATGTATTAGTTAATATTTATCAAATACACTAAAGTTAGTCTATATAAGTAATGCATATAAATCTGCGGTTTATTTCTGAGTAGAACTTATAGAGAAAATTTATTTAGCTGATAACTTTCTTCACGAACTTGGCGGGGAATATAAATCGAAAAAAGGGTTATTTTGTTACTAAAATGTATAATATAGTTTTTTAAATGTTCAATTTTTTAAAAGATTTGCTTTTATATAGTATTATTATTATGTATTCGTATATTGTTCTTATACCTACTCGAATAAAAATTAAATTGAATTAAATTAGAGTTCAGAAGTCTATAATTTGTGGGCCTCATTTGAAACATAACTAAGCAAAACCAAATGGTAAAAGAAGAAAAAATGTGGATATTATTCCAGAAATCTATTATAGATTGAATGTAGTTTTTGTATAAGAGGTAGTGGCATTTTGTTTTCGATTTACTTGCAAACAAACCCTGTCTGGTATATCAATAATCTCTGGTAAATCGTTCTCAATCATTTTCTATATTGCCCACAATTAACTGCAAAACCCTGCACTTAATGTGCGCATTGGTTGTTTATTATATATTAGTAGTTTATTATCAAAAGATAACTTGTATTATACCGTAAATTTACTTAAGTTTGAGGATGATATCCGATTTTTATATAAATAAATATGTTTTGCCAATAAAACCAATAGTACACATAAAAAAGAAATTCTACTAAGAATGACGGATATGAATTGGTTATTGAGCAGAAAATAAAAATTATTCGTGGAAAATAAACTACTATTATACAAAGCTATCATCAAACCAATATGGACCTACGGGCTAGAGCTATGGGGATGCGCCTCCAAATCGAATTTGGAAATTTTACAGAGAATGCAAACTAAAATATTTAGAACAATACTTGACTCTCCCTGGTATGCCAATAATCAAACTGTCTATGGCGATCTAAAAATGATGGTTGAGTTCGAAACCTACAAAGAATTGTCATCGAAATACTGCAACAGATTAGAGATGCATCGAAATGAATCTTTAAAGGAATTTTCCGCCCCCAACAAAAAATAAGATTAAAGAAAAATGGCTTCTAGATAATATATAATTACAATCATTAAAGATATATATTTTAAGCAACATATTGTAAGATAGAGTAGTGGATCCTATCTTATTTCAACATTCCCTTAGACCTCACTTTAGCTTATAGAATTATTTTAGTTCTTCTGATTGCTAAATAAATCTATTACAAAACAAACGATAATAATTGCAAGTTTTACTTGAAGTGCAATAATACATACAATATTTAAAAGCATTACTGGTTGTTTATCAACGTTTGTCTTCTGCCTATTTTTAATCAGAAATCATCTATTACAAATTTTTCTTAAGATTAAATTGCTGTTAAAAATCTGAGCTATTATCTACCGTCCATCGTTAGGCAAATATCTGTCTACATTATCATAATACTACTTTCTTAAGTACTTTCGTGTATCAAATGAAATTTATTATTCAAATGAATTATGTTAACGTAGAGATAATGGTAAGTGATTTTGGTTAATTGAAACCTAGTATGAAACCTAGAGATTGAGCTTTTTATCATCTGTTAATATTTTATAGTCAAAATAAATTTATAATAAGTAATCAAATATGGTGTTTAATCTGTAATTTGTAACATAGTGTTGATTTTGATTAAAATCACGATTTGTAATTATATTTGAATAAAATAATAATGTTACTTTCTCTTTTCTTCCAGATAAAGCTCGATCGTGTACTAGGGCTGACGGTCGGAAGCAATGCCGCTCTCGACTGTTCTTCGACCAACGGTCTGCTCGCCTATCCTGCGGGGTAAGTTGACATTTTGCGATGTAATTTAAGCGATTATGTCCTCATAATATTTCACTAGAAAGACATTACGTACCCGCCAATCCGATACAAGCTCACCATTGATATTATAATAGATCACGTATTGCCAGTGATAAATTTCTGTTGTGAACTGAAATGCAATGTGAACTCAAAGCGAACAATGACGCCACGCGACATTAATGCAATTTAGCTAATAGGTTTTGTGGTATTGTTCTTATGGATTTAATGGTTTCCTAATACGGAAGATTTTAGGTTTAATTTCTATTCAAGTGCAAAGGATTTCTATGTTTCATGAATGTTTGGTGCCACATTTATCGATTTATTCAGCTAAAAACAATGATTATTTTAACACATATTATAAGCTCATATTCAGCTATTAATAAAATTACTTATGTGAAATAGTATAATTATATTTAAAAATGAAGAAGATTGGCAACAAATATGAACTATGTTGCAATAAATGTCATAATTTATTTTGCTGGCATACATGACAATTAACGCAATTTAAAATAATTTAGTATTTGATAACAGGGTTTATAACAACTATCATATTAAATTTATTCAGACTAAATAAATAGTGAAGTGGGCAATAACCAAAACTTTCATTTGCAAATGTTTATAAATTTAATATAAGTTTGTGAGCTTTATATTATTATTTTTGTATTTTTGAATTAGCGGTAGATTATTTCAGTACATAATAAATATGTATTCTCTATGTCAATAAAAGCTATGCTCTATAGTGTTCTCACAGGAATAATAGTAACGAATCCCTTCCTTTACTTACATTTATTATTAAAAGACTGAATTGAATACTTTGCTTTTGAAAAATGTTGTTCTTTCGAAAAATTCTAGTTTCAGTATCTTCATTGCATACATATATATTCGAGGAATTTACCGTTATTAACTAGTTAATCGTGCACTTTGTAGAACAAATTAAATTTTTGAAATATATAATATGTTTTGTAAGAACTGGGTCAACTTCAATAAAAGCCGGTGTAATTAGACATAAAGCTACTACTTGAACGAGCAGAAACCTGAAAAGCGCCTCATGGAAGAATTGCCAGATTTACAAAACTAGCGAATTATTTTTATAATATTTCTTAACCATTGTGAAAGAATGCTCATAATAACCTTATTTACTTTTCTGGTTTCGTGGGATAGTTTACTCTACTTACCTGTTTGGCACAAAAATAGCAATTGTGATCATTTTTTTCAGAACGGACTCAATTTATAGAGTACTAGGTAGGGTTGTGCCACTTGTTTTTTGATCAGCAATATTTTTGTTAATTTAACAGTTAGCTGGGAAAACTGTAAATTAAATTGTATTTTGAACATGGAAATGCTGAAATACTGTTCTTAAATACAATGGATTGATTAGTCATAAAATTAAATCATACAAGAAAAGGGCGAGTGTACAAACATCCACACCTTCAGGACGGTTGTGACAGGCATAAAAGTAGGTTAAAAATAATAGCTATAAATACCAAAATGGATTATAACGATTTTATTATCGTTAATTACAATAATATGTGACACATTACAACATAAACATCTAAACAAAGCTTATGAATATAATGTAACTGCATATAACAAAACATATTTTTTTAAACAAAATTAACTTAACACTAAATTCTTAGTGTATTTTTTTTGTATTGAATTTTTCTTTTTTTTCTATTTCGTATTTTGTTAGATTTTTTCATATGTTTAATCTTCTCCCGAAAATGACAAGAAATACATGTCACAACCGTACCCACAAATTTGTCACAATCGTACCCAACGCACACTTTTAAAACCAAATCATCGTGCTAGTAATTAACTACTAATTTTTAATTTATAGCCAAATAACAAATAAAGTTATCTATCAGTTTACAAAAAATAGTCATTGTTAAAAAAATGAACAAAAAAACTTGCTTTTGACACGTTAAATGTGTAGGCACATGTTGATGTATGGCGCTGACACAATGCATTATTGGAAACATGTTCGAACAAATATACTTTATCTTTCTCTCTTTGGAGCCTATCTCAAAATCAGTATAGTTTAGCTGTTATGACGAATGTCACTACATGTACAGGCACAACCGTACCTAGTCTCCCCTACTTCATTATGAAAACTTCAAAAGCTCATGATAATTGGCGATCATATATGTATATTTTTGTTGAAGTTTCTGAAAGTTCTTTTCAATACGTTCTTTTTTTTATTAATTAATAAACAGCAATCAAAATTACATAAAATTTTATAAGCTATTCTGCTATGGTTTAACAACAAAATATATATATTTTTCAATACGTAAGAACTAAATTTATACTATTATTCCTGTTCTTTATTTGATCGTTACAGGAAATTCGCTTCTTATTTGTTTTTCTATTCACCTTTCATGAATGTCAATATGTTTTTCCTGATGTTTGTCTATAACTCACATAATTCGGTTCAAAATGCATCTCATATTTTTAAATCGATTTCAAGAATATTATTCAATATTTGTATATTTCAGTTTCGATATAAAATAAAATTTTAAAAGTTGCTTCAATAACATCGAAATGAATGATACGTACATTTCACGTTCTTACTTTGTTTTATCTATGCATTTAACAATATTATTTATTTAGGTCAAAATAACTGTGCACACAGTAAATATATTTCGTGTTCTTTTGTTCATGCCTTTAAATGTATTTAATTTTATTATTATGCGCCAGGCACGTAGGTTGACATGCATCTTTGTTTTCTACACGAGCATTCCGAAAGCAATATGATAAGCAAAATTATCCGTTTATTGTTTATTCCGTTGCTTCAGTTATTTTTCTATTTGTCAACTACTCAGTTGATTGAACTGTTATTTGCAGTCATATGATAATTTACAATTTCCTTAGGAGTTGAAAAATATCTATTTCCCGCAGCATCAATTTCTTTCCAAAACCTTTCTTTCAGTAAGTGCCAGTTGTTTTTATCAAATACAACTGGTACTTACCAAATCAAAATTATATTAATTTTACCAAATCAAATATTATAGGGTAGACAAGAGAAGTGAGAATGACGTGCTGGCGTCATTTAAATGTGTTTAATTAAAAAACACACACTACTAAATTTAGCAATGTGTGCCATTTTAATTATATTGATGCTAATGAACACATTATTAAGTTTGTACATAAATTAGTGCTAATGAGCGTTTTGAAACAAACTTGTTGTTCGCTGGAAAATTAAAAATAATTATGAAGCAAAATGTATTCGAATTCTAATTTGTTTTTGGTCATTAACGATGATTTTTAAATCAAAATATATTTTGGAATAATAGAATACACATTTTCCTAATAAAATTTGTTAATCAGATAATATGTGCTTTAATAACCGAATCTTCAAGATTAATATTTTTACTGTATACCATTGATTCCGAATTATATTCTGAGTTCTCTCTTATTTATAGATTATCTATTCCAATAGAATGTAAGGTAACGTGGGAAATATACGAGTATCTAATCTTGTATATATTAAATTATAAATAAAATACAATATACATTTCATTTTAAAATAAGGCTAGTTTTCCAAAAAAATTTGTGTAATTTGTAAATTTTTTCGATGCTTTATCCAATAAGGAGAACCTCGAGTTTATTACTCTTCTGGAATTTTGATGAAACTTCGGCGATAGAACAGCTTAACCCTTTCCACTCGCACATTGCGTATTTTACAAGTATTTAACAATAAAACGATTTAATTTTTAGTTTTATCAAAATCCCAGAAGAGTAAACCTGAGGTTTTCCTTGTAAATGCCAAATCATAAATATTCTAAAATCTTTTATCGGATTTGCTGAAATGTATAGAAATCCTGTTGCTTTCTTTCATTGACAATCGATAGATAATTTTTTTTTTTCAAATTTGATATATACTTGTAACAAGCATGAGAAAAATTTCTTGCTTACCATTTTCTAAACGTAGGCTCGCGGTTAGGAGCGACGGGACTTGTGTCAGAGGTCCCGGGTTCGATACCCACTTCGAGCAGCCTGTTGTCAGGCAGCAGTGACAACGATTTTCATTTGGAAATATAGATAGCAATATGTTTCCAAGTGAAAATAGCCCTTGCCCGGCATTGCTGCACCAATAAAAAGTCAGCCCTATTAGATTAATTATAATAACAAAATCATCATATATGGATGGATTAACCACTGGGTTACCATCTGAAAAATAGGAAGTAAGAAGAAGTTTCAGCCCAACAGCTCATAGGACGTAAGGTTCTGATTGCTGTTAAAAAATATTAAAAAAAAAAAATCTATACGTGTCGTATAGTAGTAGTTTTGTTTCATTACATGTGTAATAGTGAACAAAGACTTTTATAAATATATAAAGCGAAAAGTCGCGTCGTTCGTTGATTCAACGTAGAATGACCTAGTTTTAGTACTGTGCATATTACAAATTCCTGATTTTAGAATATATATTAAATATTTCCATTCTTCTCAAACAGATGCACGGTCGTGCTATTCAATCCGAAGCGTTCCCGCCAACAACAGCATTTGCTGAATTCGAGCCGGAAGAGCGTCACCGCGGTATGTTTCTCATCCGATGGTCGCCATCTGGCGACCGGGGAGAGCGGCCATGCACCCTGCGTCAGGGTCTGGGACCTCGAAGCGGGCGCCGCCGTTGCCGAATTCGCGGGTCACAAGTACGCCGTCAATTGTGTGGTAAGTTCATAAAAAATAGTTATATAAGTACGCATAGATTCGATTGTAATATTTATTCGAATTTGTTTAATAATTCCTACGATACGTATCGTGTGTGTTTTAATCCACTATGGGCCCGAGTAATTTTTAGGTCATATTCCAAATTTTTTGATATAATACCAAGTGTTTTTCGTGAGATAATTCATAAATATTAATTGTATAGCGTTATCAAGACAACCAATATCAATATTTATGACCTATGTAAGACTTTTCAACCTGAAATAACATTTTCATACACAGAAGTACAAACATCATACAACGCTGTGACTTAAAAGTCATATATTACATTTTTTTTACTCATGGATCTTATACTACATGGACTAGTCGAGCGCAAAATAAGTCTACAAAGATAGAAGGAACTAACGTCACTTGCTGAACGACCGTTGCCGACAATCGTGGAACTTTTCCATTGAAATAAAACTATCACAGATAATTTTTTGAATAACATCAACTATTATTTATTATTAATATCATGTTTTACAAAATTATCAGTCATCACAATTGCTATATATATTATTAAAACAATACATATTACATTTAATCAATCGGGAGAGTCTATGATTGTCGGCAACGCTCGTTCAGCAAGTGACGTCACAGTTCCTTCTATCTTTGTGTACACTTTATACAATGGAAAACATATGAGGACTAGGAGTCCATGCAGTGCAAGGTCTATAGTTTTACATTTTTTTTGTTTTTTATATAACTGATTTTTTGTTTCCTTAATTTTATTTAATGTAAAATGAAAATTCAGCCCATAGAAGGTTAAATTTTGAAATATAACCAACCATTCTATCTGTATGTCATCTAGAGGCAAATTTGTGTAGTAATTTTGAATTTAATAAAGAAGAGGCGTTGGTATCCATTGTGGACCACCCCAAATATACCTGAAACTCATTAATTGTGTCAAAAAATTTGCTTTTTTTTAAATGTTCTTATATTATGTTCAATTAGCTTATATACTACTTACTATTTGTCTTTTACCATTCTACTTGATTTTTTCATTATATAAATGAACTAGAACCACCATAGTCTACTCCGAGTTTTCGTCCAGAGCCGATTTTCTGCTGTCATTTAACGACAGATGTAAATATAATATTATGTTTATTCTAGTTTGAAAACATTATTTAGTGAAAAACTCTTAATATCCGTAATTAAGTAACACCGTATTTCTGATTACCCCGATTTGTGGGATGGTCCCCTCTGGTTACCAACTCCTAATATTGTACGGTCTTTAATGAAAACCATTGCGCAATTTTTTGAAAAGTAGTTCATTCTTAAATAAAATATTTGCTCTTTTATTGGACCATTTGTAGATTCATATTTTTATTTATTTTATATAATTAATGAATTTTTCATTGAATTAACTGAATTATTCCAAGGTTTTAAAATTAATTAATTTTTTTAATTAACTAACAAGTTTCTAATAATTGTCTTGCAATAGTATCTCAAAGATTACCATGCTAATTATTAATTTTATATAATATAGCCTATACAGCCTAATACAGCCTATAATGAGGTGGTTAAGTAAGTTACAATTTTTCAAGAAATGATTAAATTTTCATTTCTCTTCCACTACAATGTTACAGTGCCGACGCAGTTTTTGTGTAATTTTTTTCGGTAGGCAATTCATATTGCATTTCTACAGAATGTTACGAATTATGAGAATCATTTGTTAGAAATTGGTATGACTTATTGTTACTTTTTAGATTATTATCAAAAATTAATTTCTTTACTTAGTTACTAATTTTTCATATTTTTTTGTAATTTTCTTATACTCATGGTAATTTAGTGGTATAATACCTATCTTTATGCTGCTCCTCTTGTTTCATGTGTGATCGACACTACAGACTTTCTATCTATGTTGTTTTCTGTTTGAACTGGGATAAAGTCAATTTTCCTTTACAAATCGTGTTTTCTTATTGTTTTATGCAGTTCTAAACGTTATACACATCATGTACGTCGCAGTATTATGTTTTACTTTACATATATATCAACATCAAGATGGAGAAATAACAATGGCATATTAAACTAATGTTTGTTTATATTGTAAAATGACAGAGAGACAAGATAACTTGACAAGATATTTAAATCCACAAACACTCACATACGAGTATTATGTTGTTTGTTACCTTTTACAGTTATATGAGAGTTATTGTTAATATAAAAATTATAGAAAATATCATGAAATGAAATCAATTTTAACTAAATTTTTTCGAAACTTGTATGTATGGGAAACCGGGAAAAATTACCCCGAATGGGGTAAAAATTAACATTTTGGAGGTAAGAAGTATGTATTTTTAATTGATATTAACTGTGTTTGCTACATAGTTGTCCGTATGGGGATAAATCTCTCTTTGCCGTGGGGGTAATATCAACTTAGACAAAAATATTTTGGGGTTATGATTAAAAAAGTTTCCCTACCGCTACGTTACACCTACCCTACTTATTTAGATAATTTGTAAAAAAGTTCAATTTGATTTTATTGTAAGTAGCAATAATACTGAGATTGATCAATATGCTGCTATGTCTTCAGGATATTTTCCATATTAATAAAAATAATTAAGTATTTATTACTTAATTAATGCTTCTGGTATTGATTTATATTCAAAAATCATAGATAACTGTGGTAAAGTTAATTGATTGTGGAAGTTTTGTAATCAATATTATAAAATCATTGACTAAGACTTATTTTCTTTGCAAATATAAAATTCGTATCTTTTTTACCTATATAACATTGTTTATAATTGCTACGCTTCATATTATGTTTCCTATAATACATGTATGTATATCGGTAGAATAAGATTTGGGAATAATATCTAAACCTATATAATTGTACAAAGGACAGTAAATGAATGCTTTTAAAATTTGAAATTAACCAAGTAACTTTTTACGTTCATTCGTCAGTTTATTATGCAAGCAGAACTCGCTCGTATTATATGTACAAGTATTTTGAAATATAACCATAGCTGGGCACCGTTAATCAAATAGTTAACTTCGTTAATCGTTAATCCGCTACAAAAAAAGTTAACTTCGTTAAACGTTAAAGCGTTACATTTCGGAAGAATTAACGCAAGTTAACGTTAATCGTTAATCCGTTAATATGTGTAAAATTACATTTTTATATCGTTGCGTTAGTGAACTTAAAAAACTTATTAGTTTAGGTTCTGGAAGTTGACAGGTTATGAATAAAACAAAATACTTGTATAATTCAAATGTGTAATTTAACCCCTCGCGCGTTTTATGCACACTTCCGTATGTATAAGGAAAATGGCACAATTATCACATACCGTGATAACGCTATTGGTCAACTTTCCGTTTTTATGATTGCATATTGTTTTTACAAGAATTTTTTTCTAAATAAAGGGAAAGAGTTTTTTTAACTTCCCGTAGGGCAAGTTATAGTAATCGCAAAAAAATCGAAAATGAAAATTTTTGCATTTCTCGACGTTTCAAAGGTTTCTGAATATTTTGGCATACCTTAGAAAAAATGGATGTATGTGTGTGTGTGTATGTATGTGTATTCGGATACAAATTTTCGTCGACGATTTCGGGAACACGGATCAACCGATTTGAATAATTCAAAAAACATTCGATTCGTATTGATAAGAAGACGTGCTGATTAGTTTTTGGCAAAGGCAGGTCTAGCCGTTCCGAAGATATGGGGCAAAATTGAGCCAAAAACGGTAACTCAGTTTTTAAGAGATCGGAGCGTCCGATTTTAATAATTCAAAAAACATTTTACTTGTATTGACAATTATGAAAAACTGATCAATTTTTCATGAAGGCAGGTCTAGCGGTTTCGGAGATTTAATGAAAAAAGTAAAAAAAAATGCCATTTGGCGGTCAAAATGATCATTAGACATATGCACATCAAATTATTAGATATTTTATAGAGATTTTAACAATAAGTATAAATTTTATTTACATTCCTATGGGTTCCGTACCAATGTTTATCCTTTAGACAGCGGCGCGGCGCTTACGCGTTTTATATTTTGTCTCTATGCAGTCCTAAAGCAGTAAAATTGCTTTGAAAAAAAGTTCAGATCTTCCAAAATATGTCAAAATAAAGAAAACATTTTTTTTTCAAAAAAAAATAATTTTTTGTCCAATAGTTTATTGTTTCTGCATTCCTCTCTACTGCTGTCATACGTTTCCAGCCACATTAACCGAAACTTTGGGTGAAATGCCGCGGCAAGTTGGCACTGTTCATCATTCAGGAGTAGTCCAAATCTTTTCTCTATGCCGTTTAATAAGGCATTGGCTAAAGCTGTGCCGTGCGGTAAATAGTAGGCATTGGATTAACGATTAACGGACTTCTCGCATTTTAACGGAAGTTAACGTGTCCGTTAACATTTTTAAAAGTTAACTTAAAAGTTAATCCGTTAATCAAAATGTTAACTTCGTTAATTAACGATTAACGGATTAACGAGTTAATGCTCAGCTATGAATATAACTGATGCATTTTTTGACTAAAATTTATTTCTATTCCTAATAACGAGCCAAAAATAAAATTTGCTGTTATTGCAATATTGCATGCATTATTCAAATGATTGTGAATCGATCAGTGTCGCGATAAATTGTTCGGATAGTTATTCTCCATCGAAATCCAATGCTATCTGGGATTGGCCTCATCTGGTATTTTGCCCCAATGGAATTAAAACAGTGATATATGCATCTAAATTTGCTGTACAGCTGTTGTTCGCTCTCTGGTGTATAACAAATGTTCATGTTTCTACACATTTTGATACTGATCGCAATTTTATGCATACTTCTTTCGCAATCATTGAAATGTGGTCTTTTTTGTGAAATTGTCAACTTTTTTTGCGCATATATTATTTATACTGATTACTATTATAAAATGTATAACAATATTGTAACAACAAACATTGTAAGTGTATAATACTCTTGGGTAATAAACTCAAAAAATTTAAACATATAATGTATGTGATGTACGTTCAAGTACCAAATTTATGTATTGAAATATGTATATTTTATTGACATTGAAAAAATTGCTTCTACATATATTGAGATATCACGACAACGTTTTGTAATTAATTATATAATTAAAGTAATTAATAACACTAAATACGAATGATATTGAAGTGTTTTCGTTAGAAAGTTAATAATTTTAAATATGCAATTTGGATTTTGCACTAAATATCAATGAATGAAATTATTGAATTAGCTAAAATTAATAATCCACTTTATTGTTTCAATAATACTCGTGGCTTGTATATAATTATAATATTTGACAACCTAAATTCTCAATCGAGTGTATTTATCTCTTGAGTAATTTCTTCAATTAAATTGCAGTGATCTCTCATATAATACGATACTCTTATAACGCATTTTTGTCTCTTGTATAACACATGTTTTATCACATATTACTCATAGACATTTTATGTTTCTCTTTGTACTGTGAATGTTAATGTGATTTATCTGAGTAATTTATTTAAAATATCAAGTAGTAACAGATTGCGTTATACGAGAATGTTTCTACAAAGCGTTTTCGTATAACACAGAAATTTTAAATTAGGACAGTTAGGAAACAGTTTTTAAGCAATTGCAACTAGAATACATATGTTTATACAATTATAGAGACAAGTATTGTCGTACAGTAGAATAATGTAAATTTTATGGCTGAAATAATTTAGAAGTAGATTATGTTATTTATTATTTTATTTTATTTCAGGCTTTTTCCCCGAACGGAAAATATTTAGTATCAGTGGGTTCCCAACACGATATGATCGTGAACGTTTGGGAATGGAGATCAGGAGCAAAATTGGCCAGTAATAAAGTATCGGCACGAGTCAAAGCCATCAGTTTTGCCGAGAATGGAGCTTATTTTGTTACTGTTGGAAATAGGCACGTCAAGTTCTGGTATCTAGAATGTGCCAGGTTGGCCAAGGTTTGTAATCATACAATGATTTATAATTTAAAAACGGTTTTGATGTAATTTTTTTAAGTAGCAAATATCAGTAGGTACTGTTTAATTTAGAAAAATTAAAATAGGTATGAATTACGTAAAAAGTTAACTTGTAACAATTATTGCATGACGATAGTCACACTTGATTCTGCAGATATTTTTTAACTAAATTATAATTACAAATTGAGAGTTTAAAGGAGATGACGGCTGGATATTTGAATTATCTATATTTGAAATTTTTTATATATCTTCACGTTTCCGAACATTTTGGCATGCCTTGGAGGAAATGGATGTATGTGTGTGTGTGGATACAATTTTTCGTCGACGATTTTGAGAACACGGATTAACCGATTTGAATAATTCAAAAAAAAATTGATTATTACTGTGACGTGCTGATTAGTTTTGGCAAAGGCAGGTCCAGTCGCAGAAAGATACGAGGCAAAAAGTGCCAAAAATGGCAATTCAGTTTGTGAGAGAACGGAGCGGCCGATTTGAATGATTCAAAAAACATTCTACTTGCATTGACGGAATGGAGAATTAAATAATGTTTAGAAAGGCTGATCCAGTGGTATTGAATTGCTTTTTTGTTAGACAATATTTTTATAACCATCTAACAACATGTAATTTAAAAAAAATAAAATCTTTAAAAATACAAAACCTGCAACTTTTGTATTTATCTGAATGATTTCATATTTTTAACTTCCCGTAGGATAAGTTATAGTAATCGCAAAAAAATCGTGAATGAAAATTTTTATATATTTTTACGTTTCAGATTTTTGAACATTTTAGCAATACCTCAGAAAGATGGATGTATGTGTGTGTGTGTGTGCGGATACAAATTTTCGTCGACGATATCGGGAACACCGATCAACCGATTTGAATAATTCAAAAAATATTCGATTCGTATTGATAAGGAGGCGTGCTGATTAGTTTTTGGCGAAGGCACGTCCGATTTTAATAATTCAGATATTTTACTTGTATTGATAAGATGAAGAACTGATTAAATTTTTGGAAAGGCAGGTCCAGCGGTTATGGACTCTCAATAAAAATGAATATAAAAAATGACTGTCATTTGGCGGTCAAAAATGTTTATTGGACATATGTACATCAAATTATCAGATATTTTATAGAGATTTTATTAATGTGTACACATTTTGTGTAAATTTGTTTGGGTTCCGTACCAAGATTTTTAATTACGGTACGGGAAATTCCAGCAATTTGCTTTAAGGCACGATGCAATGTACCCCACTAGTTTTATCTTTTACTTTACTTTGCTGATCGGCGTCTTAATAGGTCTACTGACATTCGGAACATACTTTCGGCTATTCAAAATTAGTTTTAAGATTTAGACATCTTGAAATTTTTAAGATATTTGATTTGGAAACTGATCTTCATAATTGTATGCCGTATGTCTGTATCTTATTGTTAAGCAAACGAACGTTCTAATAAATTAATAAAGAAAATGTTTATGAGACTTCAACAGATATAATAAATTGCAAATAAGGAATTATTAACGTGTAATAGCATATTTAACATATCATTATGATAATTTGATGTTATTAAATACAAATATTTATATAATAAAAATGTCATAACTTTGTCAATTAATTTCAGCAATTCAAGGAGCCAGTTCCGCTTATGGGCAGATCGGCTATTTTAGGCGAACAGCGCAATAACGACTTCGTAGACGTGTGCTGCGGTCGGGGACAGTGCGGCGACTCTACGTACGCCATCACTCGTAGCGGGCTTTTGTGCGAATTCAATCACAGGAGGCTTCTAGAGAAATGGGTTGAACTCAGGGTAATAGCCTTAGAATATTTATTAATATATTATATTTTAAATAATCATTTTTATATCACGTAGTAAATAGAATTGTTTCACTTCAAAAATAAGATCTTTTGTGCCGAGTTTTAAATTTCACATGAAACGTAAGATACAAGCAATTAATGCACTGTAATAATTTAACAGAATTGAAAATATTATCATATGTGATAATATAATTTGCAATCGAATTTGCTACAATTTTTATTTAACATTCCAAAATTATTTGTTATTAAGCTTTCATTCTGAACAGGATTTGTTCTAAAAATAATTTTACATAGAGTCTATTTTGTACATATAATGATTAAATGTTTAATTAATAGTATTGTGAGATTAAGATTTGAAATCGATTTAAGGGGGGGAGAGCCTGCTTTAGAGGCTTGAAAAATCGCTTTTTTAGGAATTTTTAGGGATAGGTATAAATATTTAATTGGAACGAAACTCTCAGGTTTCATTGTTATATATTTCAACATTCTTATTAATTTTTTTTCATTAAAATATATGACATAATATGCCGGCTATAAGCATTTTGCCGATGCGCCACGAGCAGGTGTCATTTGGCGGGAAAGATGCAGGTCACAATTTTCATCCGAAACAAAAAAATCAAAACAAATATATATTTTCAATAGTAAAGATTCTAGTTGAACCTAAAAAATCCAGAAAAAAATGAGAAAATTCTCCCACGGGGCAAAATGTGCAAAAAATGGTAGTTCAGTTTTTGAGAGAACGGAGCGAACGCTTTGAACAATTCAAAAAATATTTTACTTGTATTGATGAAATGAAGAACAAAAATTATTATTAGACATATATTTATCAAATTATCAGATATTTTATAGAGATTTTAATATTAAGTTCGAATTTTGTTTACATTTCTATGGGTTGCGTACCATGATTTATAATGTTTAACCATTAGACAACGCGGGGCTTACGCGCCCTGACACGTTCTAAAATAGCTATGCAGCGTTCTTGCTTTGAAAAGAAATTTAAAATTTAAAATATAGAAAAAATATTTTTTTCAAAAAAGTTATTTTCTTCAAAATTCTCATAAATCTAATTTTTTAACGCTTTTAAAAGTTTAAATTACGCTACTGGAAATTCCAGCTATTTGCCTTTAAGGCGCGATGCCATGCACTACTAGTTTAACTGAGAATTGATCCCTATCTAAACGAATATATTATACTATGATTCTGTTACTATTTTTACTAATTTACTATTATATTTTTTACAGACTCCAAGTGCAAACTGTATGTCTGTAGGCGAACGGCTGATATTTATCGGATGTTCCGATGGAATTGTTCGATGTTTCGATCCTTCTTCGATGCAATTTGTAACAACATTGCCGCGAACCCACAGTTTGGGCGTCGATGTGGCTATGGGAACCAGCATCGGGTGAGTTAGAATTATTTGTGCAGTTTTTTATATTATATTACTTTTTTTACACTCAAAACTTTTTATGATAACTTTGCTACTTTGTTTTCTGAACTAAAATTGAAAATCTATAATATTGATTGGATTTTTATGACAATTTTTTGATATTATATTGCGTATCAACGAACAGGCTAAATGAATGGAGAAGGATAATTATTTTCCGATGTGTATAGAAGGAAATATACATCAACACACATGCTCCAAATACTACATGTATAATTTACTTTTACTTTCTGTTTGTAATTAATTATTATAAATCCTAATCTTAGTTAGATTTTAGTTATTTTTGTTGTGGTTTCTTCAAATTAATCAATATTTTTATTTTATTGTTAGACACATGTTAAACTCATCACCTACATCAAAGTATCCTGACACAATAGCTGTGAGTTACGATGAATTAAACGGAAAACTGACTTGTGTATATAACGATCATTCACTATATATATGGGATGTTAGAGATATTAAAAGGGTAAGATATATTTAAATCAACATCTTTATATTACTATTTTAACTTATAATAATGAACTTTTTTTAACATTAGATTAACTTATAATTACAAAAATTTTATTCAACATCAGAGGCATGAGAAATTATTGGCCAAATAATTATTATATTTTAAGTATGAATTTAATAAAAAGAAAAATCTTGCGTGTTATCGCTTGATAAATAACCGAATCGTGATATTAGTTAAATTCATTTTTTTTATTATTTTATTTATTGATCTCGCTTAAGCATTTAGCCACCTACAACATTTCTTTTTATTACCCTGTATCTATATCCCATTTTTTTGCTTTACAATTAAAATTTCTCTACTTCATACAACATTCCTTTTCATACAGATTTCTTCATTTTTCTTTTTTCTTCAAGATCTATCTTCTCATATTCTAATATTACTTTCTTTTTCAACTTAACGAATTTTATTTCATTTCAACTTATTAATTCAAATTTTACTATGACAGTACCATGACTCGTTCTGAGGGTCGCTAGCGTGTGGATCGGGCTTTCTACTGACTGAGCTATGCTCTACACAAATTAATATTTATTTATTGATTTTAGATTTTATGCCTCTGTAATTTAACGCCGTAAACTTAGATTAATAATATCGATGAATAATAATAATAGCGAGACTAATCGCTGTGAATTACTTTATTAGATCCCAGATACGTACATATCAGATATAACATATTATTACCGGTTTTCTGCAAAATGTACTATTTTGAATTATAACTATTTTTATGAAATATTATATTGATATTGATATATTATATTGATATAAATAAATAATGTTGCATACAAGATAACACCTTTTATAAAAGCATATAATTTTTTTTAAACAATGCAAGTTATTGAAATAAGTTCTGTTGTTTATTCACAGGTCGGCAAAAGTAATTCATTCCTGTATCATTCTGCGTGTATATGGGGTGTGGAAACGCCGAATTCTTTAGCCCATATGAATATGAATTCTTCAAATAAACCTCCTGCTTTGCCACAAAACTGTTTCATCACATGTTCGAGTGATGACACCATCAGGATATGGAATCTCGATGAAAACCATCACATTGACGAAACGTCCAACTTCAAACGGAATATTTATAGCAAGGTAATACCATACTTGATGAAGCTTGAAAGCATCAAAATCACTTAAAAGTTTGTAAAATATATTTGTTTCTTCGATTTTATTCAATTTATTTATTACATTTTTCAGGAACTATTAAAGGTTTTATATGTGGATCCAGAACTTACATATATCAAAGATATGGAACTATCTCCTACCTCAAATTCTGAAAAGTCCACATCTTATGATGGAAGAAATGGTGTCAGGTACATAAAAAATAAAAATTTGGGCTTCAGTTTTTGTGCCGATTTTTGTTGTGAATATGTCCATATAATCATTAATTTTCAAGTTTAAAATCTATCATAAAGTGTTATTATATTTATTAGTACAATGATATTACCAATCATGAAATCCTTTTTATATAGCAAAAAAATATTTGATTCAAAATGTAAAGTGAAGGAACTACAAATATAGAAGAGCTTTATCAAAGTTAATTTTATTAAAACGAAATTCAATTATACCGAAAGAGAAGAGCTTTATCATCCATTTCTATTATTGTTCCTGTTATTATTTCTAGGTCATTACGAATAAGTCCTGATGGCGAGCATCTTGCTTCTGGTGATAGAAGTGGCAATATTCGTATTCACTCCTTAAGATCATTCCAAGAGCTCTATCAATTGGAAGCACATGATGCTGAAGTATTGTGTCTCGAGTATACACAAGTAAACAATACCAGAGATCCATCAAAAGAGAAAAAATTATTGGCGTCAGCATCTCGAGATAGATTGATACATGTGTTTGATGTCAATGATGTAAGTTAATTTTTTATATTGTGAATTATTATAAATTTTATCTGTGCAGTTTATATAATTTTTTTTATGAAAAAATAATAATTTTTATATGTCAATTTAATATTATTTAATATTTATTATTACAGGAATATAGTTTTATACAAACATTGGATGATCATTCGTCTAGTATCACGTCAGTACGATTTTTGGGAACAGGTGGAAATATTCAAATGGTATCATGTGGTGCAGACAAAAGTATCATATTTAGGCAGCTGGTTTCGGTAAGTTAATAACTTCTATTTATTATTAAACTTAATCATTATGCACCTTATGTATTATTATATTTCTGAATACAATTTCAAAATTGAGCAAAAATAAATTCATTTATATTCAAAAGGTGGCTTGAATGGCAAATAATTAACATAGAAATTTATAGTAGCAACCTGTTGAGTTGTATTGAGTTTACAGTTACATTGAAATTTTCTTATAGTAATGAATTTTCTACTATATATTCTATATGTATATATGTTTTATATTTATTAGTGTACTCTAGCATTTTATTTGTTTAGCAACATTTATAAATCCTCTAATTTTCTAGTCACCTGGCGGTACAGAAAATTTCCAACGGGGCCATAATTGTTCTGGGAAGACTACATTGTATGATATGGAAGTTGATTCAAACCACAAACATGTATTGACAGCATGTCAAGATAGAAATATCCGAGTTTACAATACGCAGACCGGTAAACATACCAAAACTTTTAAAGGAAGTGCCAGTGATGAAGGGACATTAATTAAAGTAAGTAAAATAGATAATTTTGAAATTGTGGTTCAAAAAGAGTAATGAATTTGACCTTAATTTGTTTTAAACATGTTCAAAATATAAGTATTTATTTTTAGGTGAGCTTAGACAGTAGTGGCATTTATGTTGCTACCTCTTGTACAGATAAAACCCTGAGTGTATATGACTATTATTCAGGAGAGTGCATGGCTACCATGCTTGGACATTCTGAATTAGTTACTGGATTGAGGTATATTAAAATTTGAATGTTCTTAGTTATGATAAATATCAAGAAAATCAATGTTAAATCTTGTAGATATTGTTAATTTTTAAAGTAATATGTTATTGTATTATAATTATTATTTTTGTGTTATTGTAATTTAATTAATATTTTGGTTTCAGATTTAGTAATGACTGTAGGTATCTAATATCAGCCAGCGGGGATGGCTGTATTTTTATATGGAAAGTCCCTCATGATATGGTAGTTACAATGCAGGCCAGATTATCACAACAAGCTTTAAGAATGGGCAGGTAAACGAATTGAAAATATTTCAAACTTTCACTTAATTCCTAAATAATAGGAATATAAATTGAAACATTATTTGGTATAAATTTTATTTTTTGAAAAATATAATGCAAAAATATTTTAATTCTAATTTTTAAAAAATAGTATATAAAATAATGTATATGAAAAATGCCATTTTTATTGATATAATAATTCATTTTTTTATCATATAATAATTCATTTCAAGGAAACCACAAGCTGTTTCAAATGACAACTATCCCTCATCGAACACAGATATATTTGAAATGTCAATGAACACTACTCAATCTATTGCGGAATCTGCGGATTACAGGTATACGATATACATAAAACATATATATTATTAATTTCACATTTGACAAGACTTTAGTTAACCATTATGGGTTGAAGCATTTTCAAATTAATATAAGTGTATGTATGTTGCGTCATAAAAAGTATCGTATATGACAAAATGTGTGATGCGCCAAAAACTGTGAAATGAAATTGTAATAGTTAGAAAGTTGTATTTTTCAGATTTAGTATAGGTCAATTGCCTTCATGGGCGAAAAAACAGATAAGTGATCCAACGGAAATCACGAATACAGATAATTCAACATCACGAGCGCCGGAACCGCCGCGCGGAAGGTGGGCGCAACGCGTTGATAACTTCGCTGCTTCGCAGTTCGATACCACTATTACCGCGTATTCAGGTAAAATTTGCTTACATATAATATCTATATTTCATTCTAAACATTTGGAATTTATAATGATATCACTATATATAAGAATCACTTATATTTTTAGAAAGTCGCTTGGACTCGGACGGATCTAAAGACAGCTCATTAGATAGTGGAACTGAAGTAAAATCCTACAAAAATGTTAACGAAACACTTTCTATACACCAGGTAAAATATAAATTGCTCAGAATGATGATAACTCTTGATTCTGATCTTTTAAAAATAAAATTATTATTTTTGTAGAGTATGCAACATGCTACTGCATCCAGAGGAGCTGAAAGAGGAAAACATACTGATGACTCATCATTGGGAAGTCTCAGATTAGAGGTAATTAGTGATTGATCAACTGTATTAATCATATCACATTTGTTTTATTTTATTTTTTCTCTCGATTTTTAGGATTTGGAATCAACTGAACATGATGGTGATGTAGAAGATTATTCAGATGGCGAACGAACAAGTTCTGACCATATCACAATGTATTATCCTGAGAATTCAGACACACCAACGTAAGAATAATCAGAATAAAATTTATATCTAAATTAATAACTGAGATTTGCCTGATTATTTGATTACCTTCTTATTATTTGTAGTGATTTCACTGTGAACGCAATGGACGTGGAAGAGCTCCGCAAATCCCAAAGGCGGCACAAGCAAGCCAAAAAAGCTGCCGCCGGTGGTAATGGATCATCAAGTCTCACGCTGAAACTTAATCAGGACCTGGTTGCCTCCGGTGCTTCCGTTTCGGGAAGTCAGGATTCAGATGATGACGATGACGATGCATCAACTCCGAGCGGGGATAACGCCGATCGCAGTCTGGCATCGACTCTTGGTGGAAGTACGGAAAGCTTAAATGCAGCTACGGGCGGTAAAGGCTTTTTACAAACGGCACTCGATGGACCGGCCAGCAAAGCCGTTGAAGGTAAGGGGAAGAGTAATACAAAATTGAACTAACATGTTATTTTGAGAAATTTAGAAGTTATTTTAATCAAGTTTGATTATTGATATACCTTTGTGGTGAAGTTCCATTTTTATGATGGTTGTTGTATGACGGTTTTTGTTGTGAATATTGCATAAATCATCTGAGAAAATTTTAGTAAATTGTTTTTAAAAAATGCATAATTATCAAGATTATTTAGAATTATTTATATTTTGGAAATATTAAGTATTATAGTGGATATAGACGACGCTCTTAGTGAAAGTGTTAACATAAACTAGTTGTAAGTGGAATTCTGTCTTAAGGCAATTAAGGCATATTGCTGGTACTTTCCGTACCAAATATTATTATTTTTTTAAGAACGATTAACATTTTAAAAAAAAATTACTTCGAAAAAATAAGATTTTTGAGAAACTATAAATTGGACAAAAAATTGCTTTTTTTTGAAAAAAAAAATTAAAAAAAATTTTTTTTTTTGAAAAAAAAAATATTTTCTTCATTTTGACATATTTTGGAAGATCTAAACTTTTTTTCAAAGCAATCGTACTGCTTTAACTGCATAGAGACGCGTAAGCGCCGCATCGCTGTCTAACGGATAAACATTGGTACGAAACCCATAGGAATGTAAACAAAATTTATACTTATTGTTAAAATCTCTATAAAATATCTGATAATTTGATGTGCATATGACTAATGATCATTTTGACCGCCAAATGGCATTTTTTTTACTTTTTTTGTTAGATCTCCGAAACCGCTAGACCTGCCCTTATGAAAATTTGATCAATTCTTCATCTTGTCAATACAAGTAAAATGTTTTTTGAGTTATTAAAATCGGACGCTCCGTTTTCCTAAAAACTGTGTTACCGTTTTTGGCACTTTTTACCCCATATCTTCGGAACGGCTAGACCTGCTTTCGCCAAAAACTAATAATCACGTCTCCTTATCAATACGAATCGAATGTTTTTTGAAATATTCAAATTGCTTCATCCGTGTTCCCGAAATCGTCGACGAAAATTTGTATCCGCACACACATACATACACGCACACACACACACATACATCCATTTTTTCTAAGGTATGTCAAAATATTCAGAAACCTCTGAAACGTAAAGATATATAAAAATTTACATTTTCGATTTTTTTGCGATTACTATAACTTACTCTACGGGAAGTTACTAATATTTACATATTATATATTATATATTTATATTATATATATATACATATATACAGTGGCGTCGGAAGCAAATTTTTGATGGGTGGGCCCCCATCAAAATTCATGGGTGGGCTCAAGCCCACACAGCCCACACGGTTCCGACGCCACTGCATATATATATATATATATATATATATATATATATATATATATATATATAGATACATATTATATCTTTATATATTATATATAATATATTTTATATATTACTATAACTTATAAATTATAATTATAAATATTGAATTTAAATGTTATTAATATTTGCTTATAATTATTTCCTGGCAGTTCAAGGGAATTATTATTATGGTTATTCTAGAGAAGAATGAACTTATTTTAATTACATTATATTTTTTTATATTATAAGAAGTATTTATAAACCGTTTTATTTGTTTCTTTCCAGGTAAGACAAAGAGTTACAGTTCGAAATACCTGTTGAATACGTCAGGTGGCAGTAACACGAGCCCGTCGAACGACAACCGGAACGCGTCGGTGATACAGGCGGCCAGGCAGAACAAACCTGAGACGAAACGGGAGGAGCTCGAAAGGAGGATCGAAGAAACTAAAAGGACACTTCAGAGCGTGAGTTAATAATATTTATTTAAATCCGAATTTAAATGCGACTATGCACTTTTTATAAGAGCGTTCGTTATATAATATATACGTAATGAAAATAAATACACACGTTGTCCCATGTCCCATGTTCTCCGAAAAACAATTTGCAGTTTTTCTAATCAAATATATTAGATGTGAATGTAGATTTCTACAAAATATTATTTACTGACTGAATTATTCCTATTAATAATTTGCGCAATACAATTTTAAAGTACAAGCTTTGAAAACAAATGTTATAGTGAGCATTTGAATTTATTATAAATGTTATTCAAATTACATTCTACTATTCTACAGCACGCTATGAAGCAGTATAATATCAAATTTTATATATTTTATATAAAATATATGAAGAAAAATATTGAATGACAATTAATTATATAATAATACAATAATAATATATTGAATGACAATTAGCTATATAATAATACAGTTACAATATAACGAAAATTAGTATGTAATGAAGTATACTCCAAAATAATATCCTCTTAACAAAATGAATGCGTCAAATAAAATAAAATTTTTATTATTTTTACCATACTTTTAATAATAGGTTGTCAAATATCTCCCTTCCGCCTTTTTGTATTATAAACCAATAGCAAAAAAGCGGAAGGGAGATATTTGACAACCTAATATAATATGGCAAAATCAATTATCGAGAACAGGAATGCGGGGTTGAGCAGTGTGTTAATCAATCATGTTTTTACCACAAGTGTAAATAATTTGCCAATTATTTATTAATCTGTGTTAACAACATTAATTTTGTTTGTTTTATATTGTGTTTCCTATATTAACATAAACATTATATTTCACTGTTATTTACATAACATTACACTTAATATTGTTATCATCTGATACTATTCAAATTTTCCAAATTTATAATGATCTTTGTACCGTTATAATCTTTCAATTAGCGCATTAGAAAGTATTTCAATATAACATTACAAACGAGTTCAATGAAAGTGCAACTTGAATCAAAATTTATTACAAAACATTATATTTTAGGACCCCATCGACAAAAGAATATCCCGAATTAAATTCTCGGAGGTGAGAAGCATCGTAGTGTTTTTATTTCAAATGAATTGGCCTCAAATAACACCTAATCAAATATTTTGCAAAATTTAATATTGGTTGCTGCTGAATGTTAACACAAATATTGTTGCTTTTTAATAAATATATTTAATATTTAATACTATCATAAAGTTGTTATAATTGAATGAATTTATTAATCAAAAAAAGTACAATTCCTGTTTCATAAATTAATGCTGGCTGATGAAATGATAGTATTACATATACATATATGAAACAACTATTGTTATTTTATCTCACATTCTATTTAGATTCAAAATCAACTGTAAATTTATTTCATCAATTAAAATATACTTTGTTTATATTGTTTATATTTAACAATTCAGTACCGGTTGCCTTAATACTCAATGCTCAGGTTTGGGAGAAGTTTATATTATTATTTAATATTATAATATTTATTCATACTGATAAAGGTTTTATATGATTTATAAAAATATGATTTAAATAACTTTATTACTAAAATAAAACACATTATATATTAATTTCATCACCATAGTCTGGCACAGTACAAACAATAAATTTATTGGTCATTTATAAAGTATCATTTTAGTTATTGTTAACGCATGTATTAAGTGGTTGCACATTTGTGCATTTTAAATTTTAAGTTTTAATGAAATAAGTTCTGTAATTAATTTACAAGTGACCAGTCAACAACTTTTTAAATTTGGAAATAAAAACGTAATATTAAAACATTAGTAAGTATGTATTCAAAAAGCTTTGATAATAATAAAAAATACAGAAATCCAACAAAAATACAGAAATCCAATATATTGCTTACTTAACGTTTTATTAATATTTCAAAACTTAAAAAAGGTAGCTTTATACGATAAAATCTAAATATTTTTAGATCAGAATATCTTTAGCATAATCGTGCAATATGCAAATTGTGTTTTGGTTAGCGATAATTTGATCATGATCATTGATTTATATCGTATAAACATACCGCATTTTTAATACTTGCTAATAAATTGCTATTAATTAAATATAAAAAAATTGTACCTACTAAATTTTGTTTAAATTAATTTAAGTTTATAATGACGCAAGAATTAATTTAGAATTTCGTTTCGTTTAGGTTGGCTATCGATCCAGTTTAAAATCAAGTCAATCAATATCTGATCTTAGCCGGAGTGGTAGTGTAACACCTTCAAGAATAAATAGGCAACAGAATTCCGGTAAGTAGTTTTACAATAGGTATCATTATATTTTTTGTGCTACATTTATAGAAATCACATTTATTCACAATATTTCACGGGTGGTTGGGTAACAGAATGCTGGTATTCTTGGGTTTTGTATTTCAATAAATGGTATGAAATTGTTATTGGTATATTATAACATATTCATTGATTTCAATTTTATTCAAGTTTAATTTAACTTTTTTAAATGTTTTTCACAATATGGATTAAAACCTTACGTCAACTTTGCTACTTTCAATGATCAAGTTTTATAGTTTGCCTATAATAATAAAGTAAATAATTGGTTTACAAGCGGATAATTCTAATTTATAGCAGCATAATTTGATGATGCGAATATCACAAATTTACAATAATTAGTATTAATTTCTGTATTTCTTTCTTCTGATGTAATTTTACTAACTGCATCGTTTTAGTAAATTATCATTAATACATTACAGGTAGGAAAAGTCTTCATGCTAGGACTAACTTAACACTTAACGATATGAATGCTCATCCTAGTTATTGTACTAACTCAAATACTAACAAATCTTCTAATAATACAAGGCCATATAGTTTAGAATTAAGTAAGAGAACCGATCAATTAAATCAGCCAAATCGATCGAATCATCACCATAGCGTTTTGAAACAGTACAAAAGTTGTCCGGTGTCTCCAGTTTCGGAAGAAATTTATTGGGGTCAGTTGCAATATGCCCGCAACAATGCCGGCATTACTTATTCTGAGAATAAACGATATTCGTGCCCAGTCGATTCAAATTACGCGAAAAATTTTATGGTAGCCATACATAAGGATACAGAAAAAATGATCGCTGAGATTACCCAAAAGTATGGCGATTTGGATGATTACGATCCGAAATCTTCTGTAATAGGAAAAAGCCAAACATGTGATAATTTTGTAACCAAAGGTTGTGATATGCCTCGTGAGCATAATTTTTTATCAGATGACGATTCGAATTTTTCTTCTGACTCTCTCGAAGATTGCAGCTTAGATTTAGATGTTCCGAAGAAAAATAAAAAATACACCAAAACAGTGTGCCACAAACATAATAAAACGAAGCAGCCTCGAAGATGTGTTTCGAATTATGAAATATCAACTGACAATAATTTGCCCGTAGTCAATTATGAATTGATAGATACTTTAGATAGCAACCAATTTGCGAGAAAACCTAAAAGTTTTACTCTTCCTAAAAACATGCCTTCAAATCTTGACATGTACGATACTGATAATTACAAATCGAATATGGGATCACAAGAATCTGTGCAAAGCGATAATAATTATTTGTCAGACGCATGCAATAGAAATATACGTAAAGGCCTAGAAACCACATCTTGTTATAATTTAAATGATATCAACTACACGAATTATCAACGTTATAGTAGCGCTAGTTTTTTCCTTAGTCGAAGCAAAGTGTGTTCTACTAGAAGTCAAGAATCGTTCTTGTCTGATGAATTTCTGTCTGACAACGATGATCAATATTCTAAAACCAACTGTAATAGTCTAGAAAGTATTTTAAGTGACGATGTTGATGGTATGAAGAGTGCGCCCTTAGAAAGATTATTTGGTTACAATCAAAAGTGCAAGACTGATTATCAGCCACAAGCAAAGTCATTTACCGATAGCAGTTATTTGCCTAGCAATAGAGGATTTGATTGCTCTGGTTCTAAATCTTATGGTAGCAGTCCGAATACGTCTTATTTTGAACATTATATGACCACCAAAAAACGTTCAGATTCGGAATTCAGAAGCATTTTTTCTACCAATCCAGGAGACGGACTTCTAAAATTTGCTACGGATGAGGCTGGTTCTAGCGATCAATATTATGAACAAGAACGTAGGCGTCAAAACGAAGATATACCAACCTTACAAAGTAAATCTGCACAATATAATACGGTGAGTAGAAGTTTGAGAAAAGATTATGATGATCAGAAGTATAAATATATGAGCGAAATGGAAGGCTGTGATATCCAAAAGCCGCAAATAAGTAGACCAAAGCCGATTCCTAAAGCTTGCTGTTTTGAAATTCATATGAATGATAGTAGTAGAATAAACAAACAACCCTTTACTGAAACGCATGCAGATAATGTTAACAATATAATGTCGAATTTGGATACAGGCACAAAGTCTAGCAAGTTTTTCGAAAATCTTGCAAAGTTCGAAAAGAGCACAAAAATTTTGGAAAGACTCGCGGCTAAGAATGCCCACCGTGAGAAATGCGGCAAGAAATATTGCGAAAATTTTCATAATAATAAAAAGATGGATCTTAATTTGACAATGGACTTTGTAGCTCATAAACCACCGAAGCCGGTGAGAAGAACTTCTTCAGTTAAAGGAAGAACCAGAACCAAATACAGAGCCTGGGATAGATACAGTTATATACCTATTGAGAAAGTTGATAAGAATAAGGATACAGACGAGAAAGCTGATATCAGTGAAGAAAAATCGTTCCATGTTTTTGTTAAGGAAAGAGATTTGCTGGAGAATAAAAGTAGCACTGTTGAAATGGATAGTCTAGATTACTCAAGTTCAAATATGAAGCACGATTTTTGTTTGGATTCTTTGGAAAGTGATTTAAATGTTCCGGAGAAAGACAATAATTGCTCTCCGACAAAAAAGAACGACGTGAAACAAAACGTAGTCCAAAACGTTCAGGAGCCAGAAACTTCATACGCCAGTGGAAGTAGTTTTAATTTTGTTGACTCTAATATCACCCGTGTCATTGAAGTTGATAAACAGCATAAAGCAAAATACATAAACAATGACGAATTGATCAAGTTTCGAGATATTGAAAGAAAAATTGAAATAATTAATAAGTTAGTCGAAATGGAAGAACGTAAATTGGAACAGGAGAAATATTTAAAAGAACAACGCATGCGTCCTATTGTTGTGCAAAAAGGACAAAGTTTGGTAAAGAGTATATCTCAAAATTTTGAAAAACTTTTCAGCGAACAATCTACTTCCACTTTTCCTTCGAAGCCAAAACGTTCCGCAGAACCAGAGCAATCTAATAAAATAAAACGAAACCTCAGTTTGCCAAATGTATTAGCTGAAACGAAATTAACTGTATCAAAACCAGAATGTAAGGAACTCGAAGAAAATATTCCAGATCCAAAAAACTTATCAGTTAAATCTCCTGATACATTTAAAGGTTCGATCTTAAATCATGTGGATAGCATGTTAGATTTGTTTCATAGATAAACGTTTTCTTGCGATTTTTTTCATTTCGATTTGTTAATGTTCTTTTGATTATGTAATAGACGACATGCCAAAATTACATAATTGTATAGTACTAGTGTAATAATATTTTATTTCGCTATATATTTATGAGTTTTTATGTATTTAGTCCGGAGAACAAATGCTCTAAAACAAATTGGACATTTCGGTGTTGCTTTCTAGTTGCTTCGTTGTCTGATGAAAAATGGGTCGAAAGAGCGATTTGCGTTGCAATACAGTCGTGACATGTGATGATATGTTATTTTATATTCAAAATGATCGAGACTAATTTATATTTTGTCTTATTTTGTTAGAAGTATAATACGAGTAGTGAATTGCACGCGATCACTGTTTCACAAGCCATTTTTCTCATCCGATAATTTTTACATTGCATGCGGAAGGGCTATTGCTTCTAAATATATTATAGATGTATTTATATTTTGAACTTATTATGTTTTCAATAACTAATTGCTATATTTACCACATATTTTAGTATGCATGTAATAGCATTGCTCATGTCATAGATAGTGCAGTACACTGATATCGATGTGATTTACTTAATTTGTAAATTCATACTCCATGTAAAATATTTATGTTGTTTTAGAATATAATTGATGACATTATGATAATTTGTTTGTATGCTCTGTGATATTTTTCATTACACTTCTTGACTTATACATATAATCAAAATAAATATAATTTTATAATACTATGAAATGTTTCATAAATGCATGAGACTTGATATTTACTTATTCAGATTAAACATTACAATTATGAATTCGATAAAAAAAACTTTGATTTAATTGACATCGTCATGATTAATTTTCAGTTGCTTGGTTTGCGCCTCCTTCTAGCGAAGGATTAAGAAAAGCTTGTTCTTTAAGTGATCTTTCTAGTCCTACACAATCCAAGAAAAATATTGGTGGTAAGTTTGATGAAATGAAATTGATTAAATATGATCATTACTTTTAATAATTCTTAAGTCTTAATATTAAATAAAAATTACAATAATATGCAATTCACTGCAATAACTTTCTATAATATTAACGTTTTTGATAAAATTACTCATCTTAGCTTCATTGACTGTTGTGTTGTGTTAGTCTTTTAATTAAGTAGAAACTATAATAACATATTTATTAAAGAAAAATGCAACTAATTATAAAAACCATTTTGTCCGTGGCATATAAGGTAAGGGCATACTCAGATACCAATTTATTTGAAGACAAGATGAATCATTTGGTCCTCTTTGGGACATCAGCACATAACATATGAGTCCAAAGGAACAAAGTCATATATCACTACCAACCATAGTCAGGTTCAAAATGTGAAAAGAGGGTTTTGCAATAAATGCAAGTCTGGGTGGATTCTTTAGTATGTTTGTAGAAGTAGTTAGAGTATAAATTAAAAGCACTCGCCTTTGATAGGGTTCAATTTTCTTTTTTCTTGGCCTTAAATTAACTATCTTGCAGTGCTTGCGATATAGTACTATGTATAAATTCATTATTTTAAAGAGAAAAATTACAAATAACTATAAGTAAATTAACATGAGAAAATCACTCTTATAATAAACTTTTGAAGGTGAGATACATGTTTGAGCTGATTACTGCGACCTGACTGTGAATATGACAATGACGCTCAACATCTGACAGCATTATTTTTATTGCTTTCTTCATATTTATTATTTTGTCCATAAACACTAGTTTGTTTGTATTTTCCCTATCTGATTGAACAAATAGAACCTATTTTATTATGTTTTACCTACACTATCGTTTAAAATACGTTTATTATTAAAGTTTCAGGCAAAATGCAGAGCAAGCCACAACCCGTTCCCAGAAAATTATCGTTGCCAAAACAAAGTGCCAAAAATGGCATGGGTCAGAGAAGTGTGTCTACTGGTGTACTTAACCAGGTATAATTTTTATTAATCTTTCAAATTGTAATAAGTTTTGTATATAATCTAATCGTATAGATTGCATGATAAACACATAATATTTGTGTGGTGTCATTTCTTTATTTGTATTTAAAATTTAAAAATAATTAAAAATGTAACCTTCAATGTTTTCACTTATATTAGAGTTTATCACAATATAATTACTTTGCTGTTACAATCAATCAATTCTTATATTTGTTTCTATATTACAGAGCGATTCCGAATCCGATATGAACAATTTAGTTAGTAAACGTTTAGGAGGTTTGATGCGACCTACTATCAGTTCCCAAAATAAAACAAATAACGGAAATTTAGGAAATAAAAACCAGAGTTTGTCGGCTAACAAGTTCTCCAAATCAAGTAAAACGGGAAGCGCTAATAGACGGCGGATGCAGAACTCTTACAGTAGCGGTAAGTTTTATTGGTTTTTAAATCAGGAATAAAAGGAATATTGAGTTAGTTCTTTTATTTTGTGCACACTTACATTATATATAGTATCATTGTCTGCCTATAATCATCATTGCTATTCGTGTCAGAAAAATGCTCAGTGATAAATACATTATTAGTTAAATTGTTCAATTATTAACTTAAGTTTTCTAAATGTCTAGTGAATCTAACTACAATTGGCAACGAAGATTCAAGCTCAGAAGAAATTGGCAGCGGTAACAGTAACTCGAAGCCAGCAGTGCCGCCAAGGCCTAGATCAATTTCAATCGATCACTCGCGGAGAATGGGTGCGTAAAATAACATACTCATAATATATATTGATATTGCTTTAGAAAAAATAAACTAATTCAAAATTGTCCAGGTCGCAGCGGTAGCGATAGGGAATCTTCATCCTCGGGACGATCGAGAGAAGTAACGAGTCGCCTGACCGGAGGCGGCAATGGGACCGCTCTCTCGCACGATAAACACGTCCACTATGAAGACCAACAGTCCGCCAAACTCCCGCCCAGTCCATTGGATCTTCCATGTAAAGATACTGATACCATCGATATTACAAATGCAGAATGTAAGTACATATTTGTTTTAATCCTTCGGGTCCGATCAATGAGATTGAACTTTATTGAAGGTCATTCATTTCATGGTTCAAGATGAAGAGTTGACGCTGGTTAGGAGGTTACAATCCTGAAATTGTTTTTATATTAGGTTGTCAAATATCTCCCTTCCGCTTTTTTGCTATTGGTTTATAATACAAAAAGGCGGAAGGGAGATATTTGACAACCTAATATAAATAATAATATAATACACCTAAGTCTGTTTTTACACGGTCTTTTTGTACACGGTTTTGATATAACACGGTTTGAAAATTGAATATTTTTAATTTTTTTACACGAATTTATTCCATTTAGCACGATTTGAAATTTTATGTACCTAAATTTTTTTTGTCAAATTAAATTTTTGCGAAGTATGTTCATATCACAAAAAAGTATTTCTGAAAGAAAAAAGTCTGAAACCATCGATAGTATCGATAGTTTGCGAAGACTAGCTTAAAGATTTAAGTGAATTCCCCTTTAGCGCGTACAAACAATTTTTACTTTGATTTTTTTTATTATATTTGATTTAATAAAATAAACATAAATTCTTGTTCTTAAAAATTCTTGTTTTCCACTAATTTTAATAGGTTTTAGAGAGTAGGACAAATCACCCATTTTTTGTATAAGATCAATGTCTTTTTTTACACGTTTTTTTTTTTACACGGCTTCTTCTGGAACCAATCTTTGTGTAAAAACAGACTTAGGTGTATACATATTATCACATTTTGTCAACTTGTTGAAAATTTTGAAAAGGGATTTTAATTTATTAAAAGAGAAATGCTCGAATGCTTCTTTTCAGCTCCTTTTATTTCAGAAGCGAAGGTTGAGCAGCTACTATGAATATTATAAAATTTCTTTACTTTATGTATTAATTATGAATGAACAAGAGCCTAGAATAATATTTATTATCACTGATTACGGCGTGCTTACGAGAAAATAAATAAATAATTTTGTAGGGAAAGTATGGACTAAATGATATGGTGTTATGTTTTTTAATAATAATTAATTTAATGATATAAAAAGTTTCAAACGTTTTTAGTTATCTTAGATTCTTTGACTACCAGTAACATAGTCTTTCAATTAAGTAGGAACAATAATAGCATATTTATTAAGGAAAAATGTAATTATTAGGATAAAATTTATATATAAGGTAAAGACATAATGTAATACTAATTTTTAAGAGATAAGTTTACGAATAAATTGTTTTGTTCTCTTTGGGATATCAGTACTGCATACAGCATGATCCCAAAGGGAATAATTCTTTGTGTCCAACTTGAAAAGAGGTCTTTAAATAAATAACAATAAATAAGTTCTTAGAAAGCATAAGAAAACCACCCTCAAATTAAATTTTTGAAGGCGTGATACATGTTTGAACCGGAACTGCGACAACACTCTGACAATGACGCTCAACATCTGACAGGATTTTGATTATGGCGTTCTTAACGTTATACATTCACAGAAACGTTACTAAAACTAGCCAACTTTCAAATAAGGCAACTATGTGATTTTATCCATATATATTTTTATGTTCGTATGTCCTCTATTAATGTCAAAGATGAGATGAATTCTAGTAAATGGATCCTTGTCTGTATTTAAAATGAAAATTGTGCCACATAACCATAGTCCTATATTTATTGACTTTTCTTGCAATATTATTCATGATTTGCAGTTACAATTCAACCTCGTATGTGTTTATTTATGCATTATATATTTTATTTTATTTTGCAGTGTCAGCAACAGTGTGCAAGCAGTTGGCAGATCAGCTGACAAAGACTGCAGAGAATGTTGTTCAGTTGTACAAACGTTTATCAGTTAATGATGGAGGAGCTGCAAATGGTGATATATCAGGTGAAACGATGCTTAAAGGCTTAGAAGAAGCCATGAAAGAAACACAGCGCAAGTTCCAAATGGCTACTTTAGATGGTGAATTACTCGACAATGTATGTAATAAATCTGAGAAATTTCTAGACAATTCTTTACAAAAAACAGTAAATGGTAACAATGATAATGATAAATCTATGAACATTAACTCCATATTCAATCAAAACATTGAACTAGACAGAATGCAGAATTTATTAACAAACAATGATTCTCTGGGAAATAATTCCGTAATGGTTCATATGATGCAACAATATTCTGATATGCTTCTTAGTGTAATGCAACAGAAAGTAGCGGGTACTCAGAAAAAGGCATGAGAATAATAATGTACAGCATGTTTCTCTAAAGAACACATGCATAGTTTTAATCACTCTTCAGGTATTTTACCAAGGTTATGTGTTATTTTATTGTTGTAGTGATATCTTAAGGAAATGTAAATCATATTTTTAACACTGCTAATATATTCGATAAAAGAAATGTATTTCTTACACATATCCATATTAATATTAATACTCCTAACAACCCACTGCTATTAGAAATATAGTTTTGATATTTCTCAATTTAGCAACCTATTAAACTTTTATATCAAACAATTTTAAACAAAATTATTATAGCAATCAGTTTTAAAAATGTCACATTGTAGAATTTAGAATATTTTTAATGAAAAAAATCCATACATGCTGACTTAGATTTATTTTTAATTTCAATAAATCTTAAGTCTTTTCCATAGAATTTAATATTAGAGTAGAAAATGACTGAACTTTAAAAATCATTCCATTTAGTCGAAAATCACAATATAGCATACGTCATTGAATCGTCGAAAATGTTATACATAAATGTTTGTGTAGGTATATTTTTGTATTTTTACAATACATAGTCACAAAATTTAAATTAAAATTTACAAATTAGTAACATTTTTCTACATCAAATTACAATTCATAATTCTTTAATTCAAATTTAGTTTGATTTAGGATTTTGAAATGTATCCAACGAACATTGTACATACTATTTTATATGTGTTCACATAATTAAATAATTATTATTGTCGTAACAATTTCATGAATTGATGTAATAACTTCTTGTTGGGTGTGAATTGTGGCAGAAATACATATAATGCTTTTCTTGAAGCATCGATTCTAACTTTATTTGAAACATCATATGTAGTAAGTACAAAATTCATTACATTAATTAATTTTTCAATGAATTAATTTTAACTTAGGGTCGCTCGAAACTATGATTCTAATAATTATTACATCTTAAATTAAGGTAGTCATACTGTAAATTACATTTTTATTCATAGTTAATGTAAAACATTTGTATAAATATTTAATTATATTAAATTTTTAATTGTTTAATGTTTAATTGTTGAGTAGTTTATATGAGTAACTTTTGTATATTTGTGTCCTCGAATTATATTATTTGATGTAGATATTAAATATATAAATAAATGAAATATAAAATTTGTGATGTATTTCATAACCATAATATATAACTATAATTCAACAATAACAAATTGATGTCAATTTATATAAAAATATGGGATCTATCTTAATATTTAATTTTAACCTAGAATATATCACAATTGTTGTCAATGACAATGCATGCATCAAGTATTGAGCGATACATTTATATTATGCACATTATTTCTAATCGCAATTTTATTGATAGCGTTTATTGCAGAGCTCTGAATTCCGAGTGGTGTGATGGAATTCAATTCAGTGACAGGACCTGTGAAAGTAAATATTTTAAGATCTAGTTTAACACTTAGCATTTAACATATGTTTCAGAAATGATCTTGCCAGAAATGAAGGATGGCGGCACTGCTAGTGTACAGTTTTTATGAGTCAATAACATTTTTTTTAATTCAGCACATTCAGACTTCAAAGTAGTGTTTTCCTGTTCCAGTTGGTGATTCCTTCGAATCAGTTCTCTTATTTGCTCTCTTTTTTTCACCCTAGGAAGAAGGTAATAAGAAATAGTAGGTCATTTATAACTTAGTCGCTACTATACTATACTTACCTCCAACGAGACGCTGCTGCTCTGTTGCGCTCAAGAAATTGTTTACGCTGGAGGTCATCATTTTTTGATTTTTGGGTTTTATCATTATTAATGTTTACTTTTTGAGGTACTTCAACTTTTGTTTTCTCTTTTTTCTGAACATCTTTCACTTTCGATGTTTTTACTTTACTTTTAATTGGTGACTTTTTATCATTAAGTGGCCGCTTGAGTTCTGAAACATGTTTAGGTAAGATATTTCGAAGACCACTAATGCCAAATGTGGATGAATCATTTGTTGCAACAACTGAAGACACCGATGGAACACTGGTTATTGCACTGGCAGTATTCAGTAGAGAGGTATTCACTACAGATTGTTGTGTATTCTTAAGAATTGATGCCTTAAGTTGTTTTTTTACATTTGAAATATCATTACTTGGTGTGTGATTTTGTAAAGCTATGCTATTATTGGCTATAAGTTGCTCAGCAACTTCCTCACTTATATGTATTTGTTCTAATACTGGAAGCAATACACTATTACCACTAGATAAATTAATAACATGATTAACTTTTGGAATTTGTGGAGTTTCTTTGGAAACAACATTGTTGTCTGCCAGAAGAACAAGTTGGCTATTATTGAGGTCTTTCAAATTACTGTCTGGAGCAATAGTCGTATTGTCACTTAACGAAGATTGCTTAATTGTGTTCAATCTTTTATCATCAGGTACATTTGTTGAGACAGACTTCAATGATGAACTATCAGCTGAAGTACTTGGCTGTTGTGCACTTTGATTTGTTTGACTATTTGTAGATGATTGTTCATCTATCATCAAAAATGAATTTTCACCAGCATTATTGAAATTTGGAAAAATATGAGGCGTGTGTAAAGTATCATCGTTCAAGGCATTTGAACTAGGTGTGGCAAGATAAACTGGTCCACCATTTTTATTTTGTTCAACAGCTCTTCGAAATGTTTCTTCAAAAGGATTAACATTTTGCAAATCTTGAAAGAGACCTACCTCATCACAGTTTCTTATGAAGCGTGTGGGAGTTGGAGTTTGATCACCTAATTAAAAAAAAATGCATAAGTAGTAGATAAATTCGTTGTAATAATAATAATGATTATGTACGTCAACCTACTATTAAATAAATTAGCTTTCAAAGGTCCTAGATTTAGAACCATTTCATGTCTTTTTTCATGCGCTACCAATTGGTCTTCACAAGTGAATGTCATAGTACAGCCGTCGTTCTTACAAGAAAACTCTTGTGTTGTCGTTTCCATTGGCCTATAATAATTTAATATTAATCCATAATAAATCCAAAAAACTCAAAACTATTTCGCATCAGGATTTTATCTGAGGCATTGCTTAAAATGTTATAAAAGTATTTTACAAATAAGATATGTATTGTTTGAAAGGTGCATGGTAAAATTGATTATAAAAATTTTATTATTATTTGTTTATGAAAATTTCGAGTTCCACTCGCCATAAACAATCTTTCCAACTGGAATAACATTCTGACCATTCTGACAACCGTGAAGCACATCGTATTCTGACATTTCTGACACGAATCCAACGTCTGACAGTGAGAAACGTCACAACTAGGGTTTGAATCTTAATCGTGTCAATTGGTGTCAAATTAGAAAAAATATTATGAATTTTGGTTGTTGTCATAGGAATTTTTTATTAAAAACAAAATTTTGGCTTATTATTAACTTTCCGAAGGAGAAGTTTAAGTTTTCATAAAAAAATCCGATTCGCTAATTTTATGCTTTCTCGACGTTTCAAGCCATTCTGAATCGATTTTGAAAATTCAAAAACCGTTCGAAAGATGGAGATTGGTTGGAGATCGATTAGTTTTTGATAGAGATCGGCCGGGCCGTTTTCTTGTAATAAAGTGTTAAAAGTAAATTAGTAAAATTAGTATCGTTTTTTGGCATTTGTCAAAATTAGACCGTTCATCGACGTTTGCTCAAAAACGCCTGGACCGATTTCAGAAATTTAAAAGCCATTTGATGTATCTCGATGTGGGTTATCGTTTCTCAGTTTTGTGCGACGATCGGCCAAGCCGTTTCTTTGTAATTTGGAAAAAAGTGTTAAACTTTTCGTCCACATTTAAGCTCATACTACCGAATCGATTTTAAAAAATCAAAAACTGTTCGAAAAATATTAGTTGGGAATGATACTGATTAGTTTTCGGTGAAAATCTAACGAGCCGTTTTTAACCGAAAAAAAATTTAAGCCGATTTTTATGAAACTTTCTTGGCGATATATATCATGGTCTTATAGAACTTACTGAAATATTACGGTCTCACTACAAGTAGTTTAATTTTAAAAATTCATCAAAGTTTGAGAAAATGAGTAGTTTTTTTGAAGTTTGTAAAATTAAAATTAGACGATTTACTTGGCATAACGGTAAAGTACTTGGTCTTAATAAACATACTAAATCATTAAAGCTCCACGGAAACTGGTTCATTTATAAAAATTACTGATTTTGGAAAATTGACTTTTAGAAAATACTCGTTCGTTTTCAATTATGTGTAATAAATCCACTCAGAATAGTTTTAATCACTCATAAATTAATTTATTTTTTATTATTTAAGTCGATTATTTACACATTTCGAAAAGTTCATGTAACTTGCCTCAAGTCAAAATACCAATACCAACTAGTTTATATTATAGTTGAGAAATTAAATGAATTTATATTTCAATACTCATTTAATCATTCAAAGTGATGAAAAACGCCTGTTATTCAGGTTGTTTATACTTCGCGTTTTGTTTTACTTTACTGTATTTATTAAATTAAATATAATTAAATTATAATAATTTTAAAATAAGTATTTAAAATAAATTAAATAAAACATGTGATATGTATTTTATATGTATATAATAAATATATACATATGTTTTATATCTGTTTGAAACTATTAGTAGACGCCCAGATATCCTAGATGGCGACACCTATTGAAATTGACCAATGCTCACTCATGTTCTCTTTTATTAAACGTCAAAGTTAGTTATACCATGGTTCTCTTCGGTTGATTTTGATCACATATTGTCATTTGAGTAAATTAAATAAATTCTTACAAAAAACACGTATATTATACTATTCGGATTCCGTGTGCATTTATTAATGAAAGTTCTCAAGATAGTGTCCATTCGTTAAATAAGCAAAAAGGTAAGATGTCAATTCAACATGTATGCTTTGTTAGGTTATGTATAAAAGTTTTGGATGTGCATTTATAATTGTAAATATATATTTTCGTGTCGTATGAACTAATCAGATTATTTGATATCTACTTTATTAATTATATTATGTTATAAATTATAACAACGTGTGTATATATATATTTATACATATAATCATAGATTCATTTATGTCTTGGATGATTGGTAATAATGATTATATATATTAGCAAAATGTGTAAATTATTTACCTTTCATCCAGGTGAGCAAAAACTGGATATATTCCGTCATCTGTAACTACAATGTGACTTAATTTCATAATTTACTTGTAGCAAAATTGGGTTTGTATATTTTTTCTACTTAAATTTTTAAGTTGTAAACTTTCTTCTTGTCCAATAGAATTCAATATAAATTAACATTTAACTGTTAGAA